AGAGCTGGAGAAGTTTCTGATCAAACGTGTAACCTAAATGCATACATAACACTGTTATATCCATCTTTACAATTTGTAGACCTGACCTTTGTGAGCGTAAGCTGAAAAGGTACATGGGGGGAGAAAAAAAAACAAAACAAACACTAACATTTGCATTTCTGAGGTGAAGGAGGACAGCGGGGAGAGGGTCCCACTGGTGAGGATGATGCAGCGCACGCCCTGATGCAGCAGCTCCTGCATGCTGAATCCAGGGGAGAAGCACCAGTAGCTCAGAACATTCCCTGCAGAAGAAAAACAGAACAGAAACAGGAGTAATGCTCTTTATCTGGAAGCCCTTCTTCCCAGTTAAAGCCCTTTCAGTTAAGCCCTCTTCCCAAGAAGCAGAACAGAAATAAAAGAGGTTTTACAGTTGACTGTATTCTTCGTGGAGGGCCGAGCACTTCTGGCAAGTACCCCTCTCATCACCGGTAACCACACAGGCATCTTTTAGAGGCAGACAGAACCAACAGCGGGCTTTTACGGCCGACTTGCTGGGAAGACACGTGCTTCATTTCGGGTTTTAAAAAAACAACTGCTTCGTCTGAACTTCAGAGATATGCTCTCGTCCCACTGTAGGGATTCTCTGCGTGCCTCCTCACCCAGACCTTGAGATTATACAGAGACACTTCCAGATAAGCAAGACACAAATCTGAAAATGAAAAAGGGCATGGACACATGGAGAAGTGCCATAAATAATATTTGCTAGTCTGCAATGCCCAGATGGCCGGAAGAGAATCTGCTTTGATTTACTCCGCAGTCTCATAAAGTAACAGAAGATCACAAAGTACTAGTTGACATCGGGCAGCCTAACCAAAACATCCAACTTATTTTAACCAGTGGGATTTCACAGCCTATTCTGCATGTTCAGGTTTAGGATTTCTTCTTTTCACCATTCAATTCAAAGAAATACAGGGAATATTCCAATTCCTGAAAGGCAGCTTGAGAAGATGAATGGGGCAAAAAAAGGGTCAGTTCACAGTTGTTCTAGGAAACAAAAGGGGGAAAAATAATTTTCCATTAAAGAAAAGGGTTCTCTAAATCAGTTCAAATCTGTAGCAGCTGAAGACCAGAGAGCTAGACGGGTGTAGGTGAGCTTTAAACTCTCCGTATTACTCTGCTCTTCAAGGCCTGGTGCTGTGAACCCCTGAATTTCAGTGCACAGGGTTGGGGTGCAGGCTGTCTAAGGAATCTGTCTGCTTAGGGGAGGGGGGCTCCCAGTCTTACACAGGAGTAAGGGGTACTGGTGGCTTGGGACACCGGCAGAACGTTGCAGCTCACAAAAAAACATTTCATGGTTTACCACGGTAAACAAAAAGAAATGAAAACCTCGGTACCTTGTTTTTTGGAGGATGACGATGACCATATATCCGTGCTCTGTTTCTTTTTGTGACTGCTCGTGTCTCGATGGATATGCACCTGTGCAAACAGAGGATTTGACAGATCTTATTGTTTCACGGCTGTTATTGCTTCATCTAACTTCATTTTTAGAAACAAAAAAGCTAAGATCACCTGCAGGGCGGTGATCCATGGAGTACATCCATAAATGACCAAATACATCATCCCAAAAGATGATTTCAAAGCTCTAAATAGCTACAGTTTCAAAAGACGCATCCATTTTCTAGCTTTTTCCATCCAATATGACGTCAAAGGGGAACCTATCCTGTCTAGCACAGCAACAGCACAGCAATAGGAAAAAGGCCATCGAACGCCAGACACAGACATCCCTGCACCCACTCACACCAGGGCCAATTTTCCCAGAAGCCAATTACCCTACTGTGGGACTGTGGGAGGAAACTGGAGCACCCAATGGAAACTCATGCGAACACTGGGAGAACATGCAAATCCTACACAGACACCAACTCAGGTACAGAATTGAACCCAGGGTCCCAGTGCTGCACTACGGCAACGCTAACCACTGTGCTACCGTGCCGCTCGAGTAAAAGAAAAAAAGATACAGTATAAAATAACTTGCGCAAAAACAGCCGAAATAAGCTTGTAAGATTTTCCAAGACATTTGAAGAAAGACATTGTCATACACTGGGAAATGTTTATCACGTGTAACAACAGTAACAGAACTCAAATAATACAAAAAGGTCATGCAATAAATAAAGAGGAGCTTCCATGGTTTAATGAGACCGGTAGCATGAGAACTTCTACAAACCTTGTAGTGTTTTGCGATGCTCTGCTCCATGTCAAATCCCGGTGCGCCCTCTGGTGGATCCACACTGAACACAATCTAGAAAAGCAGAAAAGGGGTGGAGTGAACTACTGAACAATTTCTTCTCTCAAGCTTATGGTACACAGACAGAGCACGAAACAAAAAACCGCACACGGGAGAAAAGGAGGCAAAATCTTTTTTTTAGGCATGGCAAAATGTCATCAACCCCTCAGAATGGTGCATCAGGAATGGTTATGTGAACGATATCAGAAAATGTTTCAACTTAAAACAGAAGTAGTGATTAAATCTACTTCAGCTTTGCATATTAATTGAAGCAGTCATTTTAAACAATTAATCAACTTCAGCAGTCCCACCACACTCCTTCAATAAGAGATTAGAATCAGTTGCAAATATTTCTGAGCCTCAACCGTCTGTTCAACCTCTTCATGCTGCTCTAACCCATCTATGGGGCAGTCCTGATATTTTTGTAAGTGGGCACAGTTCACAGCCATTCGGGCGGAGCGGTGGCACTGTGGCTCAGGATCTGCGCCGGTGGCTGGAAGGTTGCTGGTTCAAATCCCGTGGCCGGCAGAGGGATCCTACTCCTCGGGGCCCCTGAGCAAGGCCCTTAACCCCAGCTGCTCCAGGGGCGCCGTATAAATGACACACCCTGTGCTCTGACCCCCAGCTTCTCTCCCTGCCTGTGTGTCTCATGGAGAGCAAGCTGGGGTATGTGAAAAGACAAATTCCTAATGCAAGAAATTGTACATGGCCAAGAAAGTGATCTTATTCAACTTAAGAACTCCCAGCAAAGACCCCAGAGGTAAACTCTTCTTTATCCACGGAGGATAAGCTGCTGTTTTAACACTACAATCTCCATTTACCACCAGGTGAAACAGAACTGCTGGACGGAAGAACAATTAGTGTCCTTTCAAATGTATCCCAATCACAGTTTACCTCTATAGCTCTATCACAGTAAGTCTGCATTAGTACCCAAATACATACCGGATTCTCAAGGCGTGAATAAAAGTCCATTGCTGTGATCTGGGACCTGATCCGCAACAATGTAAGGTACTGTGGACTTCACAGCTCAAACTAACAGTGTTTTCGCCACTACTTTTAAACATTTTCTCAGTCACTGCCTAATTTGGCCCTTAAAATGTGTTCTAAATATTCCAGTAGCAATCTTAATAAACCACGTTAATTTACATGTTATGATCTGCTGTCGAGTACTCAATCTACAAGTACAGGAAATACTGCTGAACTGCTTTCTGCTATCCATACAGATTTCTTACATTGACAATGTGTCACACTGTATCATTGCACAAACTCGAATAGTGGCAGACTATACATCACATCACGTGTGTGGCCATTGGCAAAATGTATGCAATTGTTATTGATTTGGATTGTTCATTTTGAAGCCTCTTTACCTCATAAAAGGTTTCATGCTCAGCATTAGAACATCTAGTACAATTGACAGTGTGGCAATGATGGTATTAAAATATGACATGAAGGAGCAATGGCTCTGCAGGTGGGGGTGTCAGAGGAACTCCTCTCCCTGCCGAATTCTCTCCCAAGCAGGCAAGGGATTCACTACTGCAACCAGCCAGAACTGGACACTCGTGGAATTAAAAAGAACTGCCAATGTCACAGTGAATGGGAAGAAAAACGACCCCACCACCACGTTCTTACCTGGATGATGTCCGAGAGCTTTTGGAGCCCTGCCGTGTTAATAAACACACCAGGTCCTACAAAGAAGAAAAAAAAAAACAGAGCCTCAGATGAGAAAAACAGCTGAAGCCGTAAGCATTTATGCAGGGATTGATTTCAGTTTCCAGCATCATCAGAACGGGATCTGAACTGTTCTGCTTCTCCCCTCCTCCTTCACCAGTGACACAGCAAAGTGAGCCAAGAGAAGTAATGACAAGGAGCCTGATGTCACTATAGTGAAAGTCCAGGAAACCACCTCAGTGCAATTCACTGTACCCTGCCTGCTGCTAATAAGTGGGAATGATCCTCCCAGAGCCACTTAATGGATTATTTTCAGATGATTTATATGAAAGGGTGCTCCGTCTTTTAAAGCACTAAAGCCGAAACACGCTCACACACATGCAAAAGGAGTTCATTATCTCCTGACTTATCATACCCTCCAAGAACTGCCATCTAGCTTGCACGCCGGAGAAGCAAGAGCCATTGGAGAAATAGTATTTTTTCTCTGTACAGCGGGAAAATAGCCTTGTCCAAGCTAATGACATCTGGCTCCGTGGCACCCTAGTGCCACGTACTGCAAGCAAAGTATGGCTACAGCAAATTCCACTGGAGGCACATCCAACTTTCAAGATCAAACAAAAGCTGGAAAAACACTATTCATCAGTAACTCAAAAAAAAACATGAGTCAACAAGGCCTAAAAATAAAACCCTACTTTCCCCAGAAAGTGAATTTTCAGCTCTTTTACAGGAGATCTCCAACACACAGCCGCAGAACTTCTGCATGCTATGTACCTTAATCATTAACAGCCCAAATTCTGAAGGAAGGGTTAAAATGACCCAGTGCTCCGATGTGAACATTAAATTATTTTATAATGGTGTGGAACTAGTCCTAGAAAACATGTTGCATTGTGGTTTCCCCAAAGCCAAGTATATAAACATCAATTTCATCTACAAAAACAAAAAACACAGCTGGTAATGCGAGCACCAAAATACAAGCACACATGCACAGTCATTGTAAGTACTTGCATCCTTCAACTCTGATAGTGGTGCACCATTCAATTACCCAAGTAACAAAAATCATTAAACAATTATTTGACCTTAAAGATTACTGTGCAGTCACTCGTGCATGCTAGAAAGTAGCAATTAAAATTTCTAGTGAATTAACACATTTGAGATTCTATGGTTCACAACAGATATCGGTAACTTTGCTATAGAGAGTGTTCTTATATATCTGAGACCAAAAAAAATTCAAAAGATCACAGAACTTACGTCCAGCTAAAAACCCAGTTATCTGCTCCAGTGCTTCCAGGACAGAAGATTTTGTCTCAAATGTCAGGTGCACCTTCCTGAACAGCTCATAAATAAAGCTACAGTGAAATTAAAAAGAGTCTCGTTAGATTTGACATCATGCATTAGAACATTATAAAGGTGTCTGAACATGTAACAGCAGCCCCGTGCAAGCTTAAAAACATGAAAATGATTTTTCTGAATACATCACAGTCATACCATACATATTATTTAGCATAGCAATTAGCCGCAAAAACAGTCAGACCATCTCTGTTTCATGAATGCCGAGACACGTATTGTTTGCAGGTCTTGTAAATATCTGTTGAAAAAATATCCTTGTTCAGTTAGGCAGCCTCTCTCTTTGCTCTGCATGGCCTTGTGAACATTCACTAAGAACGAAATCAATAAAGTGCTTCTGCATTCAGCTGTAGCCAAGAAATAAGATAATTGTATAGCTTGTAACTACACAATTTCATAGTCATGGGTGCAGGAAATATTTTTTCATCATTACATTGGTGCAAGCCCCTGAATAACGTGGACCACTAAAAGTTCTTAAGTTTCTGTGTAGTGTGCCCATTAGGCTAAGAGGCTGGTAGCATAAAGGTCCCTAAGTGTTATACGCAGTAAACAAGGATAACTATTCCCTTAACTAAAGTGCAAGATCAATGCTCACAGCTCTTTCGCATGCTAGCTAAGCTCTCACATAACTGACAATTTGCATATAAATGGCTTTTAGTGCCTAAAAAGAGGCATATTTCAAACTGCTTACATATCATGGGTAAATTGAAATCTCAGCCAGACCTTAATACAAAATGCAGAAAGCTTAAAAAGGATGGTTTCGAATTGAGGCTCTAAAACGACATAAGTTACAAACAACGGGTGCCCTTTTCGCACATCTGGCCTATGTGCAGGGTATCAGATTCAACAACATGGCTGGCCAGCTTGTTCCACACTCCTCCCTCCCTTTGCGCTAAGAAGTAACTCCTGTACACCCTTTGGAATGCACTTCCTTTTGTGTCCTGTTTCACTTGATTCAGAAGATGTCTAGTGGTTTAACTCCCTCAATGACTTTTAGGATTTTCAGTACTAAAAATGTTCAGTCTTCCTTTAAACTTGTCTGCTCTTGCTCTGGACAGATTCTGGCACAGATGTTTTTCTATAGCGTGGTGACCAAAAGTGTACACAATACTCTGAGCAAGGTGTTACTGGTGCATTGTAATTTTAACAACATCTCTATACGATTTTAATCTTAGATATATATCTTAACATTTTGTTTCCCTTTTTTATTGCTTCATCACATTTACATCTTGAAGATGTAAATATGTCAAAATAAATACCTAAGTCTTTTTCACAAGAAGCCTCTTCAAACTCAGCATTTCCCATTTTGTATTGAATACATCTCTATATTTATAAATGTATACAGTATTTGAACAGAAATGTGAAGGTGGCACCTAAAGAAGACTCCACAGCCGAAACGTTGCGTCTCTTCTTTTCCTCCCAGCATGGAATAACCATTACCTGTCCCATTGTATATTATTCGTATATTACAGGTAAGAGATAACATTCAATCTCAAGTTAAAGTGAAGGAATCAATGATAACCTGTTTCTGGGATTTTGGATCAGGTCATTACCAAACGATCTAAAAGCACTCCCAGTTTTCAAAAAATGGAAAACATCTTAACTGGACCGGTGACTAAATCAGATAGTTGAGCTGACATGAGGTAAATGTTACTGTACACTGACAGGTATTTGTCTTGTATAGTGGAACAAATGCTCCTGAGTGGCTTCATCACTCCTGACTCCCACTCAGCGCACAGGTTGAGCTCGAGGGTACAGAGACCCCACCGCCTTTCTGCTCCCTTATACAGTAGCCCAGATGACTGCAGTCCGGATTCCCCCAGCTGCGGTTCACAACTGTATATACTGGTAGGCCAGGAAAGATGGCAAGCCATAATTTGGCAACCTGATAGCTTGCAGGGACCTCAGTTAAAGACACGCCACTCCTCCAATCAGCTCCTCTCAGGCACTGTGCAGCCCGTAACTTGATTACCTGATTGGGAGTTACTAGGATACCAAACCTTAATTAAGAGCCTTAGACTGGTACCTTCCATAAGAACAAAATAATTGGCAAATCTGGATTTGTCTCAAAAAAAAGGTCAACCTGTTTTATGACCAGCCGCCTTTCACATTTCCTTTGTCAGCAATCACCCTGTTAGGAATTTCCAACTCAACACAATTACAAGAGCGCCAGCTCTTTCAGAGCCTGAAGCTTGCTTCTGGGTGATTTATAAAACATGGAAGTACATGTTTCACAGACGCGAGACTGCTGGCTACTCCGGGCCTCCTGTTTCCCGCAGTCACAACGCAGAAGACTAGAGCCAGTGACGCAACGTGCTTCGTGCCAAAAGCCATTTTTCAGCATCCCTCCCCAGAGACCCTGAAGTTTCCATATTTATAAATCCTTAAACAAGCTGCAGACTGTGGAAAAGCATGATGCAGCACAGCGTCTTCAACTGATGTGGCTGACCAGCTAGCACTGATGTTTAAAGCTTCTTGGAAATATGCCTGAAGGACTTCTTTTCCCAAACTTCAGGTTGGCATTTGGTCAACACTAGAGCCCAGAACCAGCGTTCTGTGCCGGTGATTAATTCGAAAAGGTCAGGTATTCGTTTGTTCAAACGCTTGTAGTGCTCCAGCTCTTTATAGAGCACCCCAAATCAAACCTTACTATTTGTTTTTGAGGTCCAATTACTGTCAATTTGCACCATCGCAGATTTTCCCAGAGGACAATTTTGTGGCAGAGGGAGTTCCTTAGATCTTCAGAAGAGGACTACAACTTTTAAAAGGTCAAGCTGTAATAATGTCAGTACAAAGAAAATATATTTTAGGTGCAGATTCATTCACGGATTTCAGGCTTTGCGACACAGGGAGCAATGTTTCACCACGTCACAGATGAATACTGTAAAAAGAGCAGCAGCCCCAGATATCATGACATTAAGCCTGCAGATTAAAAAGCAGGTCTAATTTCCTGGCCTGCTCTTGCTCCCATCTAAGGTACATGAAAACCAAAAGTTTTCGGGAGATTCCTACACATAAGTGTTGAGCTACCACCTGACAAGAGAGCATCTGGGCTGTAAGAAAACCGGCTCATTTTATAGAATTTGTATTGCAGGCAAGACTAAAAGTCAACCTCAAGTTAAGCTGAACCACAGAAATCAATGAAAATCCATTTCTGGCATTGTGGATCAGGTCATTATAAAATGATCGGAAGGCACTCCCAATTCTCAAAGAAGAAAAACATCTTAACCGAAAACTTTATGAAATGAATTAAATTAATGCTGAATTGAACATGAAGGACAGTAAATAGAAATGTTATTTACTGCTAAAGTGAATCTCAGTGAGGCGGCACTGACAGGTACTTGTCTCTTGTTGGGGAACAGATGCTCCTGAGTGGCTTAATCACAACAGGCTCCCAACTGTGGCACAGTGCTGAACCTAACAGCACAGGACGGACACACTGCAGCTCTCCAAAAAACTCAGGGCTGGACATCTGTTTGTTACACACAGTGCAGATGCTCAAGGCTTCTCTAGAACCCAGCAAGAAAGCCAAGAGGTCCAATGGTTCAAGAGAAGTAGAAGTGAAGCCCAGGATCTGTCACTGATTTGCAGTGCATTATCCCGAGAATGTTACTGAACCTGGAGGCTCTCTCTCTGTCCTTCCACTGAGAGGAAAGACAAAGGCCTAGTTTTAACTCGCTCTGTAGCAGCGCTTGTTGGACTGTAGTTCGTCTGTCAGTTACTTACAGAGCAAGGTGCAAAAGGCACAATTATTGCAGTTAGTGTTATCAAGTATCTGGCAAGACAGCTGGCTGGTATTCAGTTTGTGTGGAGAGTAGCGTCATCCACCCAAACGAATATACCTTCACCTCCTGATGTAGCAGACATGCGTGGGTGTTTTTTTTAATGAAACAAATACCAGAATTTACGATTTAGCAAGACGGCATTCTCTATGGTTCTTTAATAAAGAGTCAAATGCTAATAAATCTTTTAAATATCCCAGCAACAGAAGAAAGCGTATTATTAAACAGTAAATCAATGAAGGGTATGTGCAACTCCGTGAGGATAATTCTAATTCCCCCAGCAGAGAAAGAGGCTCCATTACAAAAAACATAACACGGTCGTTCCAAAGCTCAGCTCATGGAGGCTTCGGTGAGCTTTTGTATTCCAAAACATGTTCCTAGCCTGGTACTCAGACACATACTAAGCTTTAGCCATACAAGAAAAAAATAAGGCGGAACAAATAGGTATCGATCTTTACTTACAGCAAGATTTACAGCAGATACATTATTTAGTGTTGATTACACAGGACCTAACAGGTCCTATCAGTTTGCTCTTAATGTCACCTGGTCGACCATTTATTTTAGTACAAAAGTACCCTATTCGCAGAAAAAGTATTTTGAACTTCACTGACCGTATTCTTTGCTAGATTCATTCAACTCGTTAAGCACTTCAATGAAAATGGCTTTTAATACCTCCCGCTAAAGGGAAATAGATTTAAGCACAACTACAAAGATTCCACTCTGTTCCCCTAAGTATGTGAAAAGAGCTGAAATCTGTCTTATTTTGCATTTTGTACTCAAAGACTGATGCATCACTTAAACTATTTAATATAGCCTCTTTCAAGGAAAATGACCTGCATAAAGTACCGGATATTAAAATCCAATTACATACAATATATAACATCCTTATATGCATAAAAACAAATACCGGATATTAAAATCCAATTACATACAATATATAACATCCTTATATGCATAAAAACAAATAAGACAAAAGTAGAAATCAAAGAATAGTTCAATTAAAAAAAAACAGATGAATATTAAAACCCAGAGCATGGAAATTTCCACACAGAGGTTTAGGAAAACAATGAAAGAAAGTTCTAACAAACCCTGGCATTTAGGAGGCCAGTGAAAAAACAGGCTTTTAATCTGGAAAAGAAAATGAATGAAACATGCTGAGGACAGCAATAAAGTACAGTGGCGCGTTGCAGAACGCACTGATGAGTTCTTGATGAATGTCCTTCAAAGGACAAAAAAGGACAAAAAAAGACTGCAAATCCTGGTACTTTTACCCACTTATTGAATACTGGTTCACCTAAACTGTACAGAGAACTAATCATTTAGGAATTTCCAGCTTTAATGCTTTGCAAAGTACTGATATATGAATGTGAAATCTATAGATTCAATGCAGAGTATCCAGTAAACTTTCAAATTTTGTTTTTTGTTACTTAGGGATGTTAAAACTAAATGAAAACTGCCTCTTGCCAATATTAATTCACAAACAACAAGTTTTATTTTAAAGAAGACAATGTTAATTTTTAATCTCCAATGATTGTATAGACTCACTCTCACAAATCCATACATCAGACTAAATTAACCCACCGGTCAAGGTGCAGGATATAAGACACAGTGCACAGCATCCCCCATATTTCCAGGAAAGCAAAAAAAAAACATTTCTTTCTTGTGGATAACTCCTTGTTTTTGCAAATTTAGAACACAAGCTCACCTTCCTGGTTTAGTTACACCCTTGCCATCGGCCGGTATCTCAAAGGAGTCAATAGCAGCTTCAAGGTCAAGAAGAATTCCTGCACAGCACATCAAACAAATTGGGGGGGGTTATAATTATTATACTTAATTACTGATTATGCCATTGGTATTCTCTAATTTCTTAACCTATTTATTTTTAACTATATATATATTTCTACACTGTATTTGTACACTATATTAAGAGTATGTTTTGGGGCTGAAAAACAATTTGTGATTTAACATTCGTCAATAAAGAACACCCCTTTCCCCCTGTTAAACCAAGAGTTTGCTGTAATTCAACGTTAGAACGTTGCACCACAATTGCAAAATGTAAATGCTTTCTATTCACCCAGTCATTCCAAAACAACTTTCTTACTTATGCTTAAAAACTGAGAACAACTGCACTTACTTTTGATTTTGGCAATAATGGCTATGTCCATTTTTAACCCTGAAAAAAAGAGAAAAAAGTAAATTGAAAAGGCGTCTTTTTCAGTCTTTTTTGAAAGCCACTTACTTCAGTACTGGACACAAGGTAATCAAGTAATAACAGTCTATAGCATTACACTGCTATATGTATCTTCACAGACATTTTTTAATTAAAGATAAACAACTCCAGTTAATAATAAATGCCAGACTCTCAGAAGTCAATTCACAGAAACCGATATAGGAGTATCCGGGATCCAAGTCAGGCAAGAACTGATCTTTCACTAAACCGTAATTATTTTCTGTAAAGCTTCTACCACAAAGAAGCTAGAAAAAATATCTGATATCCCAACTGAGCTGGTAAGAGTATGTTTTAAGGTGAAAGAATCTCTCTAAAAATGATCTTTGCAGACCACACAACCTTGTAGAATTGTAATTCTAAAACAAAAGAAATAAACTGGTTCATTTTAATTTATCTATCACGGTTGCCATTTCACTCGTAAACACCATACTGGTAGTTAAAATGAAGCTTCTCCCATTTAAAAAAATACTTTCAGTCTACATACAGTACCTAACTACAAATTGCTGGGAATGTCCCTTGGGTATATACAGACTACTGTGCTGCTGAAGTCCTCTCCTGTTCCTGCTACAATTTGAAGCAGCTGTCACGTTTCGGGCTACACAGGTCTAAAGGCAATCCAACATTCAGTTGCAGAAGTTGTACTATTGGAAGGGAATATGGCTGGATTGAATTTGCTGTGACCGCATGGTCAGATGCTTTGTCTCACCGGCAGAACTTTAACACCCTATTCCTTTTGTCTGTATGAACCTTGCCCCATTTTTATTAGGCCTGTTTTACCGTTGTTTCAAAATAAGGAAAAAAACTACCAATGTAAGGAAAAAAGGAAGCACTTCCGATATGCGTAGAGATGATCACTCACTGCATGACATAAAAGCCCTTCCTGAGCTGTGCAGAAGGAGAACAGAGTGCAGAGTAGACTATATACATATACAGTAAGTCCCATCCAGTGCTACACTATCATAACACCGACACTGGAGTTAGTATGTGGGAAACCAGGTTGATATCGCTCTTCCTGAAATGATTTACAATGCCTACAAAGCCTAATTCACAGACTAAGTATATAATAGAAACAACTATTCCGGCAGTTTGAAGTTTAGCCGATAGAACTCTTTGATTT